AATGAACTGTCAAAGCCAGAGCCAATCGAGCAGCGCCTATCTTGATTGCATTGGCAGTGTTGCTAGAAATCAGCCAGGCATAGGTTGCCAAGACAGTTTGTTTTGAATCCGCTCCTCTCTTATACTAGACCCTCCCTAGTTAGAACTAAATCGACTTCGGTTAGGCATCTTGATGTAATTTGTGACAGCTGTCAAAGTTTTCGTTCCCGTTCCGCTTCCACCCACATTGCGTTTGGTATTTTCTGTGTGTTACAATGTGTCCCGTTTTGTGTTGTTTTGTCTCCGTGTGTAAATTAGCCGTGGTTTCCACGAGTGTGTGTCGTGTTTGTTATGTTTTGTTTTTGTTGTCATTTCACGGCCGACTATGCCTTTGTAAATAATTTTAATTTGTAAATTGTGCGCGTTATTTTATTTTTTACTTTGTCACTTTAGTTAGCTAAGAAAAAAAAATCGTTTAATGTTGTCTTACTTTTCAAATAAAGTTAGGTCGCGTTTCTCCTCCCGCAAAAGAAGGCGAAAGCATAAGTCAGCATAATAGTTGAGCGTGGTTGCAATAGAACGATGGCGGTTTTGTTGTTATCCGTGATCATGCTTGGCATTCACAGTTGTACCACAAACGAAGTGACAGACGGAGCGGCTCGAAAACTTTGGTGACTAACCTGCTATTTCAATTTTTCAGTGTACCACATGGCAACACCACTACTACTGGATTGTACCACATGGCAACACTACTACTGGATTGTACTAGCATTTTCACCAAATGTATTAGAATGTTTTGGTTTTGTCTCTTTCACTCTATTCATAACTGAAATGCATAAAAAAATGACAAAATGATACGCACTCTTTGCACACTGTCAAAGAATCATTGTACACAAAATCAACTTTGTTCAAATCAAAACAAAAAAACTAACCCATCTGGTGGATGATGGCACAAGCTTCCAAGAAAATTCTATTACAGTGAACCACATTATTTAAATGGATTTCTTCGCCAGTTAGTCGTCTGTCACTTCGTTTGTGGTTGTACACTTCAACTGCTCATTTGTTAATAACTTTTTACTTAGTTATTGAAAATTGATTTTCTTTAAAGTAATTGATAGATTATGCTTATAGCTTACTATTGATATACAAAGAGTAGGTAAATCTTAATATTTGAATCTACACCAATGCATTTTTACACAAAGTCCGAGATGTGCAGCGAGCATTTCTCACTTAATTTTTACAATGCAAAAACAAATACAGTTTATTATTAGAATTAAAATCAACTTTTTCTTATATACCTTTTACAAGCGTAAATTTTATTCTATCTACTTCTTGAAACATAGCTATGTTTTGTCTACTGTGTGCAAAGTTATTAGCAAATGAGCATTTTGTGACCATAACTGTGTATGCCAAGCATGATGGTACTACCAACTTGTGGAAACAAACGGTTTTAAATTGGCTCACTACTTGACTAGCCTATTGGTCCCAAGTAAATCGATTAGCGTACCCCATTCTAGTCGAAATTCTAGTACTACACTATGTTTGTTTTGATTCGCTATGAAAGTTTGACAGATAAAATGCGGGGTTCGTGGATTTTCCTATGTTTCGAGGGTTGCATAGATTAGAAGTCTTCGCCTATTCGATGGTGATTTTGATGTGGTAGGGAGAGCCATGACTTTCGAGAAATCATCAAGATTAGTCATTGTTTACAAAAGCTGTTACGCCCTAATTCCAGCTCTATCTAGAAGTGTTCATTTGATGGCTGTCCAAATTTATTCATTCCAATGAAAAAGTACTATTAATTCATTGAAACAATCACTCATGATTGTAGACATCCTCAACAAAGAAAACTTAAACACCAAAATAACGGGTCTGCATATTCGACCGTGTAACGCGTAACTTTTCTCAACGAACGAACGACCAAGCGTTACATTGCTCAGTCCCCGAAATACCGGAAATAGTCAGTTTCTTATCAAATCTGTAAACGACTTATGCGCCACTCCAATCTGCGGGCGAGTCAATCGAAACATCATACAACCAATAATCTAACTCAAAATCACTCAAAATCACTTACGAGAAGCTTTATTTTTAATTAAAAACGAACGCAAACTACTCTCCTGAAAGCGCACAACCAAAGTGTTCATTCAGAACATTTATTCGAAACGCGATTTCAAACGTTTGAATTTAATTTAATGGATCATTCGAAATTCTAACCCGGGGAACCAGTCTAACCTAATCAATGAGCTCAAAGATATCCTATACGCAGTGATCACTGACCTGTTTTCATAACCCTCAAATAAAATAAATATTAAATAAACTACTTTTCTCTCGATCGCCTGCACACTGGAAGATCAATTCGAGCAGTTTGGGATAAAACAGTGTTGGTAGGGTATCAAGTAGCTTAAGCCGTGTGCAGTCCAAGAAATATAATTAAAGGCGAAATGTTTATTAAATTATATTGGGTTGTAAAGTTATCGTTACAACCGTTTGACTTGATATTGATCAGTTCAAGTAGTTCAAGCGTAACTATTCAAATCGACGTATCTGCTTTTGTAAACAATCATTTCAATCGACGATCTGTCTTAACTGCTAACTCACATACGCAAACAAACCCCATTATCAGGTAGGGGAATCTTTCGTGTTACTCACAGAGAGTTATTAGTTTCTGTGACTTCACTGAAGAGAAGACGCCAACTCAGTTGGATCGAAGACAACAAATCAAGAAGACTGGCAACTCTGCCATTTTCTCATACGAACGCTATTGTTTGTTTTTTTTATTTTCAACCTGTAAAACGCTTGTATTAGTGAAACTGCTCACTAATACCAACAATCAATACGGCTCTAACGATTTTATATTGGCTCACCACTTGACTAGCCTATTGGTCCCAAGCAAACGATTAACGTACCCCATTCTAGTCGAAATTCTAGTACTAAGCAATGTTTGCTTTGATTCGCTTTCGCTAAGTTTGACAGATAAAATGAGGGGTTATTGGTTTTCCCTATGTTTCGAGGGGTGAATCGATTAGCTTGGGACCGAAGAGAGTACCAGAGCTGAGCCAAAAAGTTGAGCACGTTATTTCGGGACCTTCTAGTCTTAGAGTTACCTCTATGCTAATACTAACGGTGGTAAAGAACTCTATGAGACAGGTACAATCGCGTCATCTGCCGCTCAAAGGTAAATGCTTCGAACAAATTTTATAGCAAAGATTACATCCTCAGACGGAGGGTTTGTGTATTTGCTCATTTTTATATGCGTTGCTTCCACCTTCACTCAAGCGCAGCGCTACTGTATCTGTCGCTTGGATTCTGGCAAAGTTGCCAGTCTTCTTGATTTGTTGTCTTTGGTTGGATGCAATCTCAGAGCGTTATTATTTTCTTCCTGCTCGATTAAATACTTTTCCCACTGTGCTCTACACGGTAACCGCAAAATACCCAATAATAACCTCGATAATAACCATAAAAGACTCGATGTTGACTACAAAGTAAGCATTTCCGAGGAAAACTGGCCTTTTTAAGGTACCACCAACGTAGAGTGCGCCCCGCGAGCTCGAGAAGAAACGTCAACCAAACCGTTTGTTTACATCAGAATAAGATTTTTTTCACATTAAAGCATTTTTCATTCAACATCTTGCCAATTTCCATCGGTAATTGTCTTATTGTATGATTTTCCACTAATCTGAACTAATTTGCACTCAAATTATATACACACAAGAAATCCGGAAAATCATAACCACTAAGGCACTATTCTAATTTTCCATTTTTCTCGACAAAACCGGTACAGAATTAATTTTTTCAACTTTAGATCAAGTTTTGGAGCATCTCCGATTAATCAATTAATCAGGAAAAGTAAAAAAGTGCTCCGCTTCCTACACTGATAAATTGAACTATTCCCATTTTGCTTGAAATTTAATTAATTTGACGTTCAACTCAGTTTAATCATATCGAATGATTAAAAATTAATCCTCTCTTTCTAAAGAGTAAGCATCTGATATTAATCCCAGTTTAATAATGGTTGATTAGATTGTAGATTATCTGTTTTTGAATAAATTTTAATCATTTATGATTCTATTTTAACAATTATTTATGGAATTTTAATCTTTTTTGATTATGTATCAGTATTGAAAGAGATTAAAATTTAATACTGGCAAGATTATTTCGATTTTAATCATGCATGACTACTGACGACCTAATCATGGCTCAGACTCAATCGAGGACTCAATAAGGTGAAGCGGGAATCCACCGACAAACCGACATGACACTTAATTCTGACTTATGCCCGAAAATCTTAAACGGCTGATTTAAATGTACAGTGATCCGAACTGTCAAAACCACAGGATTTTTTTATCTAGATAAAAATAATTTGTCCAGAATAGATCAGACACGAACCAATTCATAACTTTTGCATGCGGGTTCATGACTTACCTAAATATTTCCCGCGAAGACGGAGCCAAATGTCAGTAGTGTGCTTTGGCCAGAATTTTTATTGTTTTTACTATGGTCATTCATGTCGGTTTGTCGGTGGGGAATCTGCATACTTTTTAAACTTTTTTCATTTGATTTATCTTTGAGTGTATGTCTCACGGCAGAAATTTCAGCTCACAACACTCTTTTTGACGTTCTTCTATTCATCACCAGAGGTTGAATCGATCGCTTAGTTTCTATTAAAAAGACGTATTAGGTATTTTGCGGTTACTGTGTGGAGCAAAGGCGACAATTTTGTGCGCGGTGTTGAGAGGATGTATACAAAGGCAAGAAAATGAATATTTTTGAAGCACAATAACTTAAAAATTGAAATTGATCGACTCCGCACCATTCAAATATTGATAAACTTTACGAGAACCGCTGGGTGATTTTGCATTCTGTGAGCTGTTTGGGGGAACTTACCATAGTTTCTGTTTTCAGTATTCACATCCAGAGGTCCACTGATGTGATTGGTTCAGCATTGGCTATCCCCTCGATTTTGCACCTAAACTGTCAAAACACCGGCGTGCTTTCCAAAATCAAAACAAACAACACAGTTCTTGCGATTTTAGTGCAAGAGATTTTAGTTTTAGTTTAAATTCTGTGAAATATCCTTAAAATTTACATGCTTGTGCCAAAATGACTGCTGACAAAACGGAAAATTCGTTGCGACCGATGCACTGTGAGCTCAACATACTAACCAGATCCGATGGCTCTGCCATGCTGACGCAAGGTAAACACCCAACGATTCCATTTTCATTTTATTTCAATTTTATTCGCAATCACAATCCAATCAGGTGAAACCGCCGTCGTCGCCTCGGTGAACGGTCCCATCGAGGTCAAGCTGCAGCACATGAACGTCGAAAAGGCACGCATCGACATCTACTTCAAACCCCGCTCCGGAATGGGCAGCGTAAACGATCGGCTGCTGGAGAGCTTAATTAGGAACACATACGAATCGGCCATCCTGACGGGGCTTCATCCCCGGACGGCCATTTCCGTCCAGATCCAGGAGATGCAGGATCTCGGTGGGCTGGTGGCCTGTGCCATCAATGCCGTGTGTTTGGCGCTGATGAACAGCGGCGTCGAGATGAAGTACCTGGTTGCGGCGGTGCACAGCATCTTGCGGGAGGACGGCGAAATTGTACTGGATCCGGATGCGCTACAGTCGAAGGATGCGCGGGCCAAGTTCACGTTTGTGTTCGAGAATTGTACGAAGAATACGGTTTCGATCTACACGCACGGGAAGTTTACGACGGAGCAGTACCACCGGGCGCTGAGGATGTCCGAGGAGGCGGTGGCAAAGGTGTTCGATTTCTACGGGGAGATTGTCGGGAAGCAGAGGGAGGTGCTGTGAAATAAAGGCGAGCGGATGGATGCGAACGAGTATTGATTTTTGTTTTGTTTCGATGGATGGTGGTAAATCACAGCTCAGGTAGGTGGTAGTGAAATGTAAACTTGGGTTAATTAACGTTCAGATAGATATTAAGAGTTAATATACGGAGGCCCTTCACTCGCGGTGACTTTTGTCCCCTCACTAGTGACAGCGAGTCACCTCACCTCAGAATAAGGGGGAAGTAATTGGTATTAAATCGGACTTCTTTTTCGGACAGATTAACCGACCCACACCGCAGTCGTTAAATTTAATGTATTTTTATTAAAATCATCTCCTTATTCCAGTAAATTTCTTACCAACTAACCACGATAATTATGGGAGTTTGCACGTGCGAAAAGATCGTGTGAATTTTTAATGTTGTTCTGGCGTTCTTCGTCTTTCTAAACTTCTAGCTTGTGCTACAATTTTAGCATTCGTTAATAGCTGCAAATGGTTGCTAACTGCGACACTGCAGTCAAAATCAATTTGGATCAACGTTATTACACGGCTAAAGATCGTAATTTTTAATGATTATAGTTTTTTCATCCGCAAGGTTTTCCAATCTCTTCCACAACTCTTGCTTGTTTTTTTTTTCTTTTCTTTTGTTTGGTTTTACTATTTTACTTAAATTGGGTTTTCAAATTATTGGCAACGTGTTTCTTTGTTTTGTATTTTGTATTAGTTTTTCTAACTCTAATTTCATTAACCTGTGTGAAAGATAGTTTTTGTTTTGCAATTGTTTTAACCGAAAGGGAAACATTTCTTCTGCAACGGGAGTTCTACTCTACACAGCGTTCTCTAGTTCGCTAATTGTTTGTTTTTGTTTAATTTTTCGAAGAAAAAGAACGATATTGATTGATGCAACGTTAGTTTGCGCTTTTCGTCAAAAGTTTAAACTGCTTTCACAGGCAAAAAGGTCTGCTGCTAACTGCCTACTTTGATTAGTTTCTGCTGAGGAGGGGGGAAAAGTGAGAAATTTTGTATCTATTTACTAGTGTTTCAGTTTATTACTTTCTGCCAAAATCAAAACAAACGTTTGTAGTTGTCAGCTTAGTATCTACTGCTGCTTCCACTGCGGTGCCGGAGGGGCGGGGAAAGCAATCGAATAGCCATCGGTGTTGATGGAAAGTGCATATGGCATCCGCAGCCTACTGCTAGCGTCGCGTTCGGTTTCAACCGAGAATCTTCTTGATATAGTTGCCGTGGTTGTTGTGCACTTCCGGTTTGGTAAGACTGCGGTGCCGGTTCGGTTTGTATGGTTGGAAGTTTTCAATGTTGGAAAAACTGTTGTGCAGCTCCTCGTGGTGATGATCGGCTTCGTTGTCCTCTTCCTCGTGGCTGTCATGACGGTCATCGGCACCATCATCAGTGTCGTCATCGTCCTGGTGGAGTTCGTGCTCGGTCACGGTCTGGATGGTCGTTGGTCTTAGGGTGGTGGAAGGAGTCGTAGTCGTTGATGGGACTGACGTTGTTGTTGGAGCAGGTGTCGTAGTTGTTGTCGTGGTTGTAGTAGTGGTTGGCAAAACTACAGTTGTGGAAGCAGTTTCCGGGAGGGCTGTGGCGTTTTGGACGGCCGTCGATGACTGGAGTTCGCCTGCCGTAAATGGACGGGTCGTGATGCTGAGGGTACCAATTTTGGAAGAAATTTCCTTATCTTCGAATGTTATTTCTACGACCTGATGGGCGGTAGTGACGTCGGATTCGGTAGAGGTGGAAATCTCTGGGGACGAGGTTTTGTCGTTTAGCTCAACAAGTTGGACGTCATTTCCGCTATCGGAAACTGCGTAGGTTTCGTCGGTCATAATTGCAGTGGTAGGATCTTCGGTTGACGAAATTGGCGCAGCCGAACTGGATGGCGAAGGCTCAGGAGTTTCCGTTAAGAGTTCCACAGTGGTGGTGGTGGTGGTGTCTACATGAGCTTTTGTGGAAGTGAAGCGAGCCTTCACAAGAAGCATTGGCGGTATGAAGTGGTCTCCGATGGCGGATATTTCCTTCTTAGGAGTCGTTGGAAGAATGTGACTGGCTGTGCTGCTCGTAGTCGGTTCCATGGTAGTTGTCGTAGTCGTAGTCGTTGTCGTAGATTCAACCGTCGTCGGAACTTCAGTTGTTTCCACCGTTTCACCATCAGTTGCTCGGCGTAATCGGGAGTCTACCGTAGTGCTCTCAACCACAATGGCTTCACTTGATGCTGCTGCTCCTTCGGTCGAGCTTCCGACCACTCCAGACGTCGAACTCTCATCCGAATCACCTTCCGTCGGTTTCATCGCTTGCTGCACGATATCGATCGGCTGTGTCTCTGTCTCGTCCGGCTGATCACCCATCATCGTCTCCTCATCCTCGTCCACTTTCTTCTCGCCCTTCTTATCAAATTTGCCCTTCTTCTCGAACATCGATGAATACTTCTTTCCACCCAACTTCTTGACTTCTTTCTCCTGTTCGTCATAATGGCCATCCATCTCGTCGCTGTGCAACGACTGATCGTTCTGCATCAAATCAGCCAGGTTAAACTTGTTGATCACATTCTTCACAGTGTCCTCAATCTGGCTCGGATTTACGTCAATGTTGTTGTCCTCATCATTGTTAGACACCACCGTCAGAATATCATGGTCCAAGATCTGCGGTAGCAGCGTTCTTCTGGTAGCAACCGACATCTGTTGTTGCTCCGCCATTTCTGCTGCTCCGGCTGCCACTTCCACCGGAAGCTGGTTATTCTCGGTTGCTAGCTGGGCTGGATCCACCTCCTGATCACTGCACTGCAACTGCTGTAGGATCGTATCCCGATCGAGTTTTCCCTGACAGGACATGTGCCGGGTGCCCTGCTCGCCGCAGTCCCGGGCCAACTGTACGGCTCCGCTGTCCGACATGTACTGTACGGTCAGTGAAGGCATCGACGTCACGGTGCAGTCCAAGGCCCACGACGGTACTGAAATGAGTGGTAAATCGGTTAAAGATCAGAAAAGAGATAGATCTTATGAAAATACCTGGAAGTTCACACAGGAAGGCAGCTGTTTCTGGTCCTCCACAGCGGAGGGCATGCCAACGGAAGTCTCGAACCGGGTCAACTACGGCGCACAGTGGAGTCTCCATGACGGGAAGGGCCTCAGCCCAGTAACCGCTTGCTTGGTCCAGAGTTTTGGCATTTCTGAAAAAAAGGAAATGAAATTTTTTGTAAGTAAATTGAAGTCGTGTTTGTAAAAGTTGGAATTTCTTTCAAGAAGACATCAAACACCAAGCACTTAATCCTCGGAAGCCTGCTTCAAAATGTTCCGTTAGCGATTGGCAAAACAACAAGCCACCACGCAGCTTCTCCTTCATAACGACCACCGGCAACAGCTCCGACGATTCCCAGTCCTTCTCCGGTATACCAACCACGATCCTGTTGATCAACCACTCGACGGAATAATCAATTAATTTCTGTAGCTACCAATGTACTTCGTCCTCTCGCCTATGTAGGAATGATGCTCCTCATCAAAGTGGCCACACTCCTCCGTTCGTAGCCATCATCCAACCTCATCAACCAGATGCAGGTCTCCAACCCAGTGGCCCAGTGAGATCGAACGAAGACAACGGCAGCAGCACACCCCAACAGTCCAGGATCAAATTCCAAATCAGACCCATTAAAAAAAAGGCATGTGTATGCTCTGGGCCTCTGGCGGCATATATTTGTCGATTCAATGTTGGAGTCGGTAAAGTAGAAGTCGATAACGTAGAATATTGTAGAACATTGAACTATGATGAGCAAAGCTATTGATATTTCCATGTGAAGCACATAGACTCCAAGTGTGGCACAATTCGAACCAATAGTGTTGCGGCATGGTTCAAAGCAGGTTCACACATGAAATGGATACGTTTCACAATAAGTGCAAAATGAAGCGAAAGACACATGATGATGACGTGTGGAATTTTCTGAGTGTAGTCCAGCACGATTGCTGGAACACTGCGATAAAAACCAAATAAGAAGCATGCATTCCTTGACTCATCGCATCGACGGATTCAATCAAGACAAAAAGATTCTCAAGGAGAAACAAAATATGGTTTGCTCAGCGAACAGCCGTCCACAGTTTTAAAAAGGGAAGTCAAATCAAAGCGGAGAAGAGCGTTGGAATTTTACTTTTCTCTTTTTCTGTTCTGAGGTGGATCCATCCCTGGCCTGAAGTCCCGATACCAATTGTCCACAGGACCCAGACTTCCTGCCCGTTTCGTCTGTCACAACTTCCCCCTTCCGATGATTCATAGTCATTCACTGTCCTATCATTCGGAAGCAAAGCTTCTATCTGATCCCAAAGAAAATCAGACGGTAAGTTTCCGAACAGCTGTCGTTCAAATTAGCGGGGGTCCACGGTAGTCATCAGGGGTTTATCATACATTGATCCAAAGACGATCGAAGCCGAATGACAAGGAGAGACGAAAAAGTGAAGACGTACCCGGATTGTCTTTTCCTGGTGCACTTCCAGAAGGCAAAGGTGACGCTGAATGCGCTGCACGCTATCCGCTCAATCAACTCCATCATCGTACGATGGGAGCCATACCGTGGAGGCCATCGCGATGTGACCCAGTGTCAACGATGTCTGAACTTTGGACACAGCACTCGCAACTGCAACATTAAGCCACGCTGTAGCAACTGCGCTCAAGAACACGCCACTTCCAACTGCCCTGCGGATGGAGCCGTGGCGTTAAAATGCGCCAACTGTGGTGGTGCTCAACAAGGTTCCGACAGACAGTGCTCCAAACGCGAGGACTTCAAACGCATCCGAAAACATGCGGTAACTAACAACCAACCAGGATGCAAGAAGGACAAAGTCCCGGCATTTCGGAGGGAGGATTTCCCGCCTCTTCATGCTCCTCAGCAAAAGCATGCGAATCCGCGGGTGCATTCCACTCAAGCAACTTTCGGTGATTCTGCTGGCCAAAGCTCTCCATCCCCCCTGGATTCTGGAGACAACCAACAGCGCAAAACAACAACCCCGATCTGTTCTCAGCGGATGAACTGATGGACATTTTCGTCAATATGTCCGGTGCTCTTCGTAAGTGCCGCAATAAGCCCGAACAGATCCAGGTGCTCGGTAAGTTCATTATACAGTATGGCATCTAAACCGTTAACTATCGGCACCTGGAATGCTTGCTCTGTAAGAGCAAAAGAGATTGAGCTTGCTGACTTCCTCCGCAAGCACAGCATCGACGTGGGTCTTCTAACCGAGACCCATCAAAAGTCCGGCGACAGCTTCTGGTTGCCTGACCACAACATTATCCGGCTTGATCGCATCAGCTCCAGGGGGGGTGGTGTAGCGGTCATCGTCAGAAAGGGAATCAAGTTCTGTACTCTGCCCCACGTCCGCACTTCTATCATCGAGGCCGTTAGTGTGGAGGTGGAATCACCAACTGGAAACGTCCGGTTTATCGCTGTTTACTGCCCACGCCAGTGCATCGCCAACAATGGACTAGGAACTCAATTCAAGAACGACCTGACCGCCATCACCCGTACTAGCTCCCGATTCATCGCTGGGGGCGACCTGAATGCCCGTCATGAAGCTTGGCGGAACTACCAGCGGAACCGGAATGGATGTCTATTGTTCGACCACGCACAACATGGACTGTACACTGTGCAGTTTCCGGACGAACCAACTTTTATCCCTCCGGCGGGAAATCCGTCCACCCTGGACTTTTTCCTGTCAAACATCGTACTATCCAAGCCGGAGGCGCACCACGATCTCAGCTCCGACCACCAACCGGTGGTGACTGAAGTCGGTGGCAACGTGGTTCCTGCTAGAAGCTGCCTGCGTAAAGACTACCACCATGTCAACTGGGTGCAGTACGGACGAATGGTGGCCAGCAACATCGATGAAAATCCACTGCTCGACACTGTAGATGACATCGACCGGGCGTTGGAAGGACTCCAACAGGCCATATCCGTGGCTGACGAGGCGTGTGTTCGACAAGTTCCTGTGAGGGGTAAGTTTGTTGCTATTGATTCCCACACCCAATTATTGATTCGGTTGAGAAATGTTCGTAGACGCCAGTTTCAGAGGACTGGTGATCTGGGCAAACAATGTGAAATGGCCGATCTGAACATCTGCCTGTTCAGATCGGCCATTGCTTCCAGAATGGACTCACTCCGAAATGAAAGTTTCGGGCGTGTTGTCCAGAATCTGGACGACCGCTCCAGACCATTCTGGAAGGTAGCCAAGGTCCTGAAAAATCATCCCAAACCCGTTCCACCTCTCAAAGTCGAAAACGATGACGAACGACTTTTAACTACCCCACAGGAGAAAGCAAATGCGATCGGCAAGCATGTCGCTTCATCGCATTTGCTTGGCTCGACTATCCAAAGTCCGCTCAATGATCAGGTTGAGCAATGCGTTCAAAACCTAGATGCCTCCCCTTGTGTCGTGCCTCCGGCGGATATGATTACAGTACAACAGATTTGCTCAGCGCTGAAATGCACCAAGAACATGAAGGCTCCCGGGTTTGACGGTATATTCAACTTGATCTTGAAGAGACTCAGCATGAAAGTGCAGTCTCTTCTAACCGCTATCTTCAACAGATGCTTGGAACTGCACTACTTTCCAAGCATCTGGAAAGTAGCAAAAATCATACCAATCCGCAAGCCCGGTAAGGATCCAACATTGCCTTCAAGCTACAGACCAATCAGCCTCCTTTCAGCGCTGAGCAAATTGTTCGAGAAACTCATTCTCAATCGTTTGCACAAGTTTGTCGAGGAAAACAACCCGCATAAACAATAACCATAAGAAGCGCCTAACCACCAATTCGGGATATCATCCCAACTTTATGTGGGATAGTCGTACCATCTATGATATCGTTAGAGTATGGTACCCGTTTATTAGGGAACATTCTCCTTCCGGAACAGTTTGGATTCAGAAAGGGGCACTCCACCAATCATAAGCTAATACGGGTGATGAATAACATCTGAAGTAACAAAGCTGTATCCAAGTCCACAGCCATGGCCTTGTTAGACGTTGAAAAGGCGTTTGACAATGTTTGGCATGATGGACTTGTGTACAAGCTTTGTAACTTCAACTTTCCTTTACATCTGGTTAAAATCACCCGTAACTACCTCCAGCAAAGGTCGTTTAAGGTATCGTTGAATGGTTGTCTTTCCGACACGTTTTCCATCCCAGCAGGAGTCCCGCAAGGCAGTCTGCTGGGCCCCTTGCTTTACAGCATTTACACTTCCGACATTCCTCCCCTTGGAGACGGTTGCGTGTTTTTCCTGTTCGCAGATGATACCGCAATAGCCGTCAAAGGAAGGATGCCTCGCGAAATAACGAACAAACTTCAACGATGCCTTAACGCCTTTGCTGATTATGCCACCACGTGGAAAATCAAAATCAATGCCTCCAAAACACAAGCGATCATGTTTCTCCATCGGCAATCGCCCAAACTGAAACCATCTTGTACTGTAATCATGAATGGCACAAGGGTTGAGTGGTCTGCCGAAGTAACCTATCTCGGGATGTTGATCGATGAAAAGCTCCTCTTCCGTTCACATGTACAGAAAACTGTAGTTAAGTGTTCTGCCTTGGTTAGGTGTCTGTATCCGCTGATTTGCCGCAGATCCCGCCTCTCAAGGGTGAACAAACTGGCCGTCTACAAACAAATCATAGCACCTGCGATCCTCTACGCAGCTCCGGTTTGGGAATCATGTGCACAGACTCACAGGAACAAAATCCAGGTCGCTCAGAATAGAGTGCTGAGGATGGTTCTTGATCGTCCTTTCGACACTAGAATAACAAATTTACACGAAGAGGCAGGCATTGCCAAAATAAATTCCAGAATTAACGAAATTAAGACTAAATTTGCACAAAAATTAATTTATCAGAAGATGCTTTAATAAGCAATTTGTATACAGTAGATTAGGTGTATATGGTAGTTGTAGGTTAGTTGTAGTTGTAAATAGTAGTTATAAGTAGTCTCCTTTTTCAAATTTTGAAACAAACCAATCCCACCAAGGTGGTCATTCTCTAAAACGGGCCTGATAGGACTAGGAACTGTAATTAATAATAATTGAAATTTAACAGGAACTAAAGTTGAAAAGACGCATCTGTGTCACTTGATAAGTTATACATTTTACACACACAAATTCAAGAAATATAGATCATTTATAGTAAAAGAAAGTAA